ATATGAAAATTGCAAAAAAAAATCAATGGAAAGATAAATTTTTCTTTAAAGAGGGGAAAACAAGTTTCTCCCACTTTCACTCTATATATTTTACCTTCCAGACTTCGTGTTTCCTTTTTTATTTGGTCTTTAAGAATTTCATACAGTGTATTTTGATCATTTTTACTCCCTTCCTAACTTCCAGATTTACCTGCCTTTTTTTTTTAAACCCATGGAGTCCCATGTGTGCTGTCCAGATCTCTTCAGTGTGTGGCCATTCACTGGAGTATGGTCTACCTGCCAGGGATCACACCCTTAAAGAAAACTGACCCTCTATCTCCCTGCAGCTATTATTATTTTGCTAATAGCTGGGATGAGACATCCTGCCCACCTGGCTACCCCTCTCCATGCTGAGATCTCATCTGACAAGTATATTAGTTTTGGGGTTTTTCTTTTTTTAAGTTGTAGACCACTAATAAAATTTAGATGACATGGATTAACTATTACTTTTATGTTTTCCATTACTACTTACTTTAGATTTCTAATCGTGTGAGTGTGTGTGTGTGTGTGTGTGTGTGTTTTCATGTACTTTTTAGAATCTCAGCAACAAAGTTATAGTGAAAACACAGCCCACCCTCTGGTTAAACAGACAAGGAGATCTTCTTTTAGGAAATGAAAGAGAGAAGACTTCATGTCCCCTGAAGGTCTCCAGCCTAAGTCATGCCTAACAGCCTTGTAAGCTCTGCCTTTCTTGTCTCAGAACTGTTTCCTTATTGATGAGACACTTTTATCCTTCCAGGTACCAGAATATAATTTAAACTAGTTCCTATGAAGATCCTAAGTGTCTACAAATATTTTTTCTTCTGCATCTTTCAAGACAGAAAACACAAGAGTAAAATGATGCTCCATTTCTTCATCTGTGTCTTGTGCTACATTCCAGATGAAATGGGAATACAAAGTTTCCAATTCAAGTCTTTCCATTGTGAGCTCCATCTGCCTTAGACAAGGACTTTTTGATCTCTCCTAAGAGCAGCTTTCCTGGTGCAGCAGGAGTGTAATTTTCTTTAAGGACTTGACTTAGAAAGCTGCCTTATCACAAACACCATCCCATTGGAAGCAGGAGCTCTCTGGTTTCAGGTCCCCTTCTTGAATTCAGTCCATCTTTTCTTTTACATGTAAATATTTTATGCCTTCAGTAAGGGTCAGAGTGTCCGTGGGCATTTTATAAAGGGCACAGCTCATAAAATCTAAATGCATTTATTAATATAATCAACCTAAGATGTGAAAGGTGCTTCCAGAGGGGTAAGAAATTTTCTTTTCTTAAATATAGCTACTATAAATGTAGCCAGTGGCATGCAACAACATTACAAGTAATACACTATTTTCCAATGAGGTAGAAAAATGTTTTTCCCATCATGACAACCACTCAAATGAAATAAAGTGAACCAAGTCAATTATTTTGGCTAAATCTAGTATGTGAAAATCTGAGGTTTTTTCCCACACAATTATAAAAATACCGTGTATTCTTTGAAGTGAGCCAGAATT